TACAAACCCCATCACCTCTCTATCAGAAATGTTGTTCGCAACCCGCTACAAAACTGTTTTAAAGTTCTGCGTACGAATATGTATATTTTGCCAGACTTACAGCTTTACACATTAAAAACATTGAAAACACTTTTGAATTCAAGTAGTTGTCGATGGCGTGATTTTAAAAACCATCACTTTCTCTGACCGATTGTTACTGGAAATGCTACTTAATAATCTTAGCTGATGAGGGTAAAATACATAGTATAAAGCCAAAAAGGCTTCGAAAAATCCCCTTAGACCTAATTTATTTCCCTGTGGTGGCGATTCGTTCACAGCTTGAATTAACCAAGTGACCTAAACATACTGACCGTAGCCTATTATTCGAGCGTGGTTTATCTGTGGAGGAGGTGGCCAAAAAGTCCAGAGAAAGATGGACGGAATGGACACACAAATGTCGGGTTAAAAACCTGAAGTGGTACTTGTGCCTTTGCAAAAGACGCAACGATGTGGGTAGAGAGACGAATCCGGGGGTAACATTTGATAGTGTAGTCTGATCGTCCGGGTGAGTATAGCTTTGAGAAGGACTGTTGTCAGTAGTCACCACTACCGACAACAGCCCCCTTTTCAAGACTACACTCACCCAGAAGATCATAATACACTATCACACAATGTTCTTGGTAATGATCAACGAATGTAGTCTATTTCACCTCTGTTAGAATGTGATGAGCATCAAGTAGTCGAGAGGGAGTGGCAACATTGTTTGTTTATCACATTTTTTCCAAATCCGGACTGATATTTAGGTTGGAGATTGTAATGAAATTTACTTATAAGAGGTCTAAAGGAAGATAACGTAACAAAAGCAAAAAAATAAAATAAATTGTTTAATGGTCAACTCTAGATGTCATTTTCCGAGACAACGTTTTTCTCCCGGCTTACACGTAATCAGCCACCCCAGTCTCACTCTTGGGTACCTCGCATTATTGTGATATACTCAATAAGCTTTGCTTTAGAGCTCTTTCTGTAAATAGTTTCATGTAGCAGCTGAAAAGTCAGGAGCAAACTTAGCAGCGTCATAATTTTTAAACGGCTCAATTTAATTTGTTAAAATTCACTCAGCAGTGAGGCCTTATCTCAGTTACGTTGAGATGGTTTTCTGTTAAATTTTGCTGCAGCTCGATAACAAACATCAAGCGATTTAAAGGTATTTTTGAACTTGTTATTTGAGCTGCTCGTCACGAACAGCCCGGAAGCTGTTTAATCACAACTAAGATATACAACTACATCATTCACATACTGTAATGAACATCAAATGGAGCAGTGAGGTAGGTCGCATAATCACCTGGACTGACATTATACGTTTTCAAGCAGAGTGTTCAGAGCTAATATGTTGTGACGTCGAGTTATTAAGTTATCATAACAAACCAGTTTTAGAGTCGAACCCCTGCCAAAAGCCACCGACGGCCATTTTTTCTCCCGACCACTGTATGGAAGAAATTTAAAAGCCTCAAGTCGTTCCCAAAAACGTCAAACACTCATTCAAAGTTTTCAACGAGAAAATTCTTGCGCACCTATTGGTCGAGAGTCTTAATAGACAAACATTTATGAGCATGAGACATCCTCATGCACCGATACTCGTATTTCAACAACCATAACTTAGAAACAATCAGCGTGTTGTGAAACGCTCTTTGAAAAAGGAGAAAGAGAGAAGGAAATTTCATCAAGAGCAGATAATACAATCAAACATTTATCGTGCTTGTTATCTCTTCCTCTAGCGCAGCTGGTCATGCCCTCTCTGTGTAGTCCTTAGCGCCCGCCAAAGCTGAAATTAAGATATTCTATGTCATACTAGATCTCGATAGGGAAAATTTTTTTGGCTTACATAGTGCGGTATCATCATTCTGACATAAATACCTTTGTCGTCACAATTTTACGATTAAGGTGATTCCTTAGTTTTGCACCGCGCATCCTGTACTGCGCATAAAAATCAAGTAATCAAAGGAATGAGCGCCCGCGCATTCCGAGAACACGGTATTGTTTTTCAATCCACGGACCAGGTAAAGAGCAAGATACTCTTTAGCTCTTGAACAAGCACTCTGACCTATATACGCATAAGTGAATAAAGGGGGTAAGTTTCTAAAGAAACTGTGGTGCTGCGTCGGTGGGAGAGTATAGCAGGTAATTTAGTGTTAACAACTGAGTTGAAAACGTAAATTAGCCACCGTAAAGAGTAAAAAAGCTGACGTTTCGAGCGTCAGCCATTCGTCTGAGGGATTGGAGGAATTGTGGGTTGTGGATGGGTTTATATGCAGAAAATGGAGCTACGCTGTTGGTGGGAATATGGTGACAAGAAAACAAGAATAAATTAGTTGAATGAAAAGTGCTCGTTAATACCGTGGTGATTAAGAGTGCCGATTTGGAAGATAAATTTTTGTTCTAGTGTTTTGCGGCTTTCCGAACTGCCTAGATGTATGGAAAGGCCGCAAACTGTCATATGCTGTTTAGAATGATTAGGGAGATAAAAGTGTTTGGCGACTGGTTTGGATGCGTCCTTGTCATTTCTGTCCACATCGGGAAGGTGTTCCTAGCCGTCTTCGTTTTCAATGCATAACTTATTGCAATAAGCGCAAGTTATGCAGTAAATAACATTGGCGGAGGTACACGTAAAGTGATCAGTGATCTTAATGGATCTCTTGGGTCCGGATATTTTCTCTACGTTATGAATGAAAGGACAAGTTTTGCATCGTGAGCGAGCGCATTTGAAAGTTCCAGATTGGTCAATCGATTTGACGAAGGGTTAACGCTCGAAACGCCAGCTTTTTTACTCTTTACGGTGGCCAATTTACGTTTTCAACTCCTTTGTTGACACTAAATTACCTATATATATATATATATATATATATATATTTGTAAATTTTAGTGTACAATTTATCCTCTTTAAATTGGGGAAATTTTAAAAGAATTCTTCCAAGGGAAAAAAGATAAAGCTATGAGCGTGTACGAAGCTCGTTACTCAAGAATGCAAATTATAACCTTGAAAGGAATGACTAGTGAAACGTTTTGAGTCGATGTCGTTTCAATTTGCGTAATTTTCCCACAAATTATATACAAAATTGTTCCACACGCTCAAGACTTTCCACCTATCAAGTTTTTTTTTAATCTAAAATCCCTTGCTTCCAGCCGCAGCAAAATGTATCGTGAACCGATGAAATGACGCGCGTGATTTGTACCAGCACAGGCATAACCGGGGTAAGTTTGGCTCATTAAATCTCCTAAACAAGCACAGTGACCTATCTTTTGCTATTGCATTTTTCGAAACAGACATTGATAAGGAACACTCAAAGAAAATTTAAAAAGAATTGTTCAATAACCGTTTTTTTCTAACGAATAACCTTAAAAGATGAATGACATGAGTTGAGATGAACCAACCAGAGAAAAACACGGGAAATCCTTGCTGCGATCACGCCGTTCCTTTTTATACTCAGTGCCGAGAGCCTCAACTGATCGCATGAGAGCATGTAAAGACTTTATCAAGATTCCCGAATCCCACCAGTTGCATCCCTTATTCCGCTACCATGGCGAAACTATTTGCTACCGTTTTACACTGCAACTCTTTCATCAGAAACACAAGAGATTTTCTAGGTTTTTTTTTCGAGCCAAATTTTATTTCTGGTTATTTGGAATAGCTACATAGCTCATAATCAGTTGCAAAAGAAAGGCTTAACGTTGCGCATATCCAAAACAAAATAAAAGGCATTATGTCTATTCTCTCGATACAATGGAGCTTGAATGCAATTGCCACGGACGAAATTATTTTCGATCTCTCGAGTAGATGGCCAAAGGGTTTCTGTTAAAGGATCCTAGTCAACCACAGGACATTGCGCGCTTAGTCCGCCATTTTCTATGCCATCTAAATTCGAGATCTCCATTGAGGTCCATCATTCCAGTGCATCCGAGCGATTTAAATATTTTGTTAGGTTCAAAATTGTCGTGGCAGCCTTCTGAAATTACTAGTGGTTTATTCTGGGTAGTTGTGTACTGGTTTCTCGCAATTTTCTTAAAAAATGTTTTTTTTGTAACTGGAACAATAAATGATATACGTTCCTTCACATGGAAGGCTTAAAGCCACGAGGCAGACGAAAAATTTCAACCTGTAGAATGACAGGAAGGATAGTCCAAACATCAGAGATCTAACTGATAGCCAATTTTCAAAGATTTTTCTGCATCAAAGCGTCGACAAGCTTCGCGCAGGGTGCATATCGCAACAGGCAAGTGACCAGCTAAAAATTGAAGTATTGACAAGCCTGCATGACATTCCTGTCATCCGCAAGCGATGTTAAACTTCTGTCTTCATAGGTTAGTTCTGACTAAGTTGACGACTTTCTTTGCGATGTGATTCTGATTGAGGTGCCATTTCCCCATCAGTATGGTCTTGAGGTTAGGTGAAGCCGGATGATATTACGTTACAAAAGGCAATAATTTCTTCTAGGTGCTGTTTTCTTTGTTTTTTAGGTGACCCTTCTCAACTGGAGTTGATTTAATATAACCGAATTTCTCCACAGTTGCCCGTTTTTTAACAAAAACAGAGGAGTGGTTGACAAGGATACTTTAAGACGCTACATCAAAATCATTCCTCAAATATTGAAGGTTTTGTTAACTAAACCTTATAAAAGGCTTTGAAAAACAAATCGAACCAGATTTTAGTGGTTCGTTTCATACCCAAACTACTGTTTTAACTTTACTGATTTCGCTTTACTTAAAAGTCTTACGCAAGTCCACACTGTTTTGTGCTTATAACATCAGAAATATAATTTATGCGTAAAAAACAAAACGAATTCTTGAGTACGAAACCAGTGCATTCTTCTGAGAATATTGAAAAAGAAAGTACAGAAAATGGAAGCAGATCTCCCATAATTTTGGATTACCCTTACCTAAATGTTAATGAAAAACCGAATATAGTATTTTCTCTATTTGTTTCCAGTTAATTTATCCATCTAAAAGTCTTTTAGCTCTGTTTCATTTCAGTAATTCTCTTTACTTACTCTGTCGGGGTCTTTTTTCCTGAACAAAAATACAAAAAAAATAAATTTTCATTAACTAAATAAATATTTTTTTGAGGGAAATACAATTATACCTAGCACAATATCTAAAAACATGAATGGCTAACACTTGTATCTTGATGGGCAGAGAGGCAATTTGGAGATTCTGTATTTTACACAAGAGAGCGTCGATGGTAACTCTCCGAAAAGAAAAAAAAAAATATATATATATATACATATGTATATCAGAAGTGTGTCGATTTTTACGTAGTACAGTGCTCGGTACGTAGAAGTAGAGCGCAATATGTATGGGAAAAAACAAAGAGTCTATACTTTCATCCCTACAAGCATGTTTCGTGATTACTCTCCCATCAGGGTATTCTTCCCCGATTATTTTTCCCCTGACGAGGGAGTAATCACGAAAGTATACCCCCTTTTTTTCCCTACCTCAATATATATATATAGACAGATAAATATATATACACATAACGATATATATTACACTGGCCTTAATGTTCAAGGTAACAAAAGATCCCCGCCGACAGTGGGCGACCAGTAAGTCATAGCCACCTTCGCATCTAATTTAACTTTAATTCATGAAATACGTTTTCTCGCCAAGTCTTACCTCTGCTTGTCAAAATCGAGCCTCACGTCATCTCCAATCAGCGTAAACGAAGCCCACTCAGACACTTGGGCAGGGCCCTTTTTTCTCATCCACTTCATGGCCTGATGAAGGGATTCACTGGCACTTTCTCCTTCAACAAGGTGTTCGTAGAACCGACTCATCAGCTGCTCTGTTGCTTTGTCTGAAATGGCCCACAGCGCAACCAACACCGAACGAGCTCCGGATCCTAAGAATGCACGGGCAATTCCTATAATTCCCTCGGCTCTTATCTCTCCACTTCCACTGTGACAGCAGCTAAGTACCACCAGTTTAGCTCTGACTTTCACTCGTGAGACATCAGCCATCGTCAACATGTAAGCCTCCTTTGGTGGGATATCGTTTCGACTGTTGGCAATAGGAATGGAGGAAAGGGCAATTTCTCCCCTTTCGGCGTTACCATGGGCAGCAAAATGTATCAAGCTCACTGAACTTATGCGCTCAAGTACCGCCTGCTTCGTTGCTTCCTTTTCTAGCAGAGGCGAAACACCAACCAGTTGTCCGACCATCTCGGCTTCCTTTCTTGCACCTGGCAATGGCAGCAGCCAATGAACCTTGGGATTGCCTATTATCAAGGCACCAGTGTTGCTGTGATAGTCCTCTGGACTATCTTGAATGATCTTGAGTGTCGTCAAAGAAGGAATGATACGGATCCTATGAGTCTCCGACAGGTACTCGGCTCCCTCCGTTTCACTTAGGGCAGCAAAGGGAACTTTGTACAAACTGCGGTCAGGGACAATAATGACTTCAGGCTCCTCAAGCAAATCATAAACGGGGGCAATAAACATTTTGTAACACAAAGATAGACTTGAAATGACTTTCTCGTCCTCCTCCAAGAGTCGCAATCTTGCTGAGCTCTTTTTCTCGGGGGAAAGAGGTTGCAATTCAACCATATTTAAAGACCGATCTTCACAATCTTCAATTGGTAAATTACCAAGACTCTGGAGATTATCAGTCAAAAATTTACTCAGAGGCAAATCTTTGGCCAACCCAGCCTGAACTAGATACTCTTCTAGTGATATTGCTTTATAGTGAAGGACTCCACTTGTTTTCAAGATCCACAAATGCAGACAATTGTGAAAATAAGAAATGTACAGACAAGTACAGTTATTTTTCTTCCTAAAAATGTTCTCAATGCTAAACCAAGATTGTGGATTAGCAGAAATGTGCGTTTCAAGCGAGTACTTCTCTGCCATCAAGTCTGATAGGCCTCTAGCTCGACTTAACTCCTCAACATAAAGAGCATCCCGCACATTTCCGGTGGCACAAAGCAAATTACAAAGCAGCTTGTAGGGAAATATTCCTGAGTCCTCCAGAAATGATGTTTTGAACTCATCATTGGCGCCTAAGAAATATCTTAGCTCATCATAAATGTTTATGCAAAGACGAAGACACGTAAGGGAGTCTTCGATTTTACATTGAAATAGATACAAAATGGCGTACTCTCTAAGGATTTGGAACTCGCTTTTTCTATCACCAATATCTCTCGATATGGATAAAGCTTTCTTCAAGCATACTTCCGAATCTTCATAATCTCCAACAGTTCTAAACACACTTCCAAGGTTTGCAAGATCTACTGCTTTACCTCGCTTATCACTAATTTCAGTTTTGATGACAAGCGCCTTTTGGAGATACTCTTTAGCCTTGTCGTATTGCCCGAGCGAAAGAAACACAGTACCTAGGTTTCCATAACATGATGCTTCTCCTTTCCTGTCGCCAATCTCAGCTTTAATGACAATCGCCTTTTGGAGATACTCTTTAGCCTTGTCGTATTGCCTGAGCGACCGAAACACATTACCTAGGTTTCCATGACAAGATGCTTCTCCATTTCTGTCGCCAATTTTAGTTGTGATAACAAGCGCCTTCTCGAAATACTCTTTAGCCTTGTCG